ATAATGCGTTACATGGAACTGCACTAAGCAGAACATTTTTGGCTGCCTTCGCAGGCGAATTCCTACTTTTTTTTGCTGCCTTTTTTATGCGTTAGGCTGCATAGCAAAAAAGACGCACAAACAGCGGGAAGCCCCCTCAAGTAGAGCTAGTTGAGTAGAAAGAGTGGGTGGTGGAAGGAGGGAGGTGCCTGGGCCTAACGGCGCCACTAGACAAATGACCGATGAGCAGCGGCTGCAGCTGAAGCCATCACTCAGCGCTGGGGACAACAACAGGAGGCCCCTTCGAGGGGCCAAAACAGAGCAAAAAAAAAAACATTTTGGGTCGACTAGCAAAAGGCAGAGAGCGCAAAATATGTGAATGGAATTCGTGTGACCAAATGGAGCATATGCCATGGCTAATTAGTCAAGCACTCCAAACAGGACGCACAGCAACAGCAAAAACAACAAGAGTTGCCACAACAACAACAACAACAAGAACAAGAATTGGGCAACAGGCGCCAATTAAATGCTTAAGCTGAGTTTCTGGTGAGCTTGTCATAAATTTTGACTGATTATGCGTATTCGTCTTTGTCGTGCACTCTCCCAAGGAGCCCCAGTCCCTTTGCCTTTCCCTTTGCTACTGCCACAGCTCCTACCTCCCAATCCACCCCCCCCCCCCCCCCATCACCCAATTCACCCCCTGCATCAACGCATCCTTTTTCGTGACAGCTGAAGAAAATTTCTGCGCTTGCTGGGGTCCACGCCGGTTTGTTGTGTGTTCGTTAAACTAACCCAACTCCAGTTCCTCCCCCCCTCCACCTTCTCCTCCTCCTTGGGCCGTGTCCAACGCAATTCATCATTCAATTAAATTGACCGCAGAGCCGCATTTCAAAGTTGTCTCGAGTTCGTCGACATCTTTGGGGCTGGGCCAAAGGCTTTCGAGTGCCAGTTTTAAAGTTAGCCACGCAAATCCTTTAATGCATTTTGCCGTTGCCATCGATTATCCTTTCAATAAACGCCATTCGCTGCCGTCCAAAAAAGCACACAAAAAATCTCTGCACTCGAATCCTCGCATTGCCTTTGGCTTTTGTCTTTGTGTAGCGTAAATCTGGCGCTTGATTTATGCTCTGGCTTAAAAGCCAATTGATGTGAGCGGAAAGGAGCTGCTAACTGGACGCATTTTGGAGGCAGCTCCTCCTGCTGCTGCTCCTGCTGCATCCTGCACGTACGCTTGCCCCCCTTTGGATTTCGGTTGCGTGGCGGCTTAAGCGATTGTCAAAAATGCCGCGTGCAAGGATTGCAGACAGCCAGCCTGCCCCTCATCTCTGCCCCGCCCCGCCCCGCCGATGCCCTATCGTCTTGGAGCTTAGTATGCCAACAGGCACTTCCATGTGCAGCTCAACAACTCGACTCTTGGCAATGTCAACAGCCAATATTCTGGCAAAGTGATTTATGTCATGTCCATGCACGGAATGCAAAATGTCGCAAGGACTAGAGAGTGGCAGCCGGAGGAGACGCCTCCGATGTGAGCTCTAATTGAGCTGATGCCAACTCCAATGCAAATATTGTGAAATTCAACAAATTCAACTGTTGCCCGCAAATGTTTACCCTCTTTTTGAGCAGTGTCTATCAAATGCGCAACAGCCCAAACGCCTTTGATTAATTAACACGCTCGAACTTAGATGATAACAAAAAACTGTAGCACAAAAAAAAAATAATAATAATAAAGGTATGAAAACCTACTGAAGCTCTAATAAACGAGCCCAACATCGAAATTGAGTTGTTTTCACGATTATTTTTGCTTGTTTATTTTGTGTGCACTGCCCCAAAATGGAAGGTCTGAGACTGGGTTAAGCCATAAATAATCGATTAAAGCTAAGCTTGAAAATTGGATTAAACTTGAAAAAGATTTCTCCAGAATAAACCATAAACTTTTCTATGTTCATCCTAGAGAATAAGACTCTCTAATTAAATCCATTAATCGACTTCTTGAGATCTATCAACAATTCCCTAAATAGAAGCATATATAGAATATAGAATAGAATACAAAACATAGAAGATTGAAGATTAAAGACTGAAATTGAAAATTGGATATTGAAATTGACGAATGAAGATTGAAATATGAAGATAGAAGATTGAAGAAAGAAGATAGAACACAGTATGTAGAATATTTATTTGATATTGAAATCAGATTGCTTTGTCCATATAGTAAGAAATCTTGAACTATTTGCTGTGAGTACAGACCAGTGGAAATTGACATGAATATTCAGCAATTGTCATTTTTGGGCTCTGTTTGCCTTTGGAGGCAGCTACCTGCCAGATCTGAGAATTGTCTGTGATATTTTACAGATCTAAATGTATTTTACTGTATCACAGTCAGATTCAGGCATAGACACCTTCACAGACGTCAATTTATTTCTTAGTATACATCCGATTCACCCCTGCCCCCTGCCCCCCTCCAGGTTTATTTGTGCTTCTTGTGGTTGGGTGCGGGGGGGCACGTGATTTGAGTTTTTAATTAACGCCCCGAATTTGTTTGTTTGCGCGCTTGGACAGCTTGGAATTGAAAGAGACCGAGTGTGGTGGCCAGGTGGACGGACTTGGGAGTTCTCTATTTTTTTTATCGTTTCTGCTTTTTCGAGTGTGGGGGCGTGGTGCGCCTTTGAGTGCTGCTGCCATGGTTGCCATGGCAAGTTTCATTTTGAAAACATTCTTTGTTGGCTAATTCGGCATTTTGCATGCTGCACAAATATAAAATTCCGCCAAAAGAGCCCTGACAACTGCCCGGCACGGGAGGAGCAAAAACTAATAAGCGACTGGAGAGGCGGCAGAGATGAGATATGAGGGCCGGGTGCAAGTGCGAGTGCGAGTGCGAGTGCCAGGGCGACAACAGGTGAGTGGGCGAAAAGGGCGCTTGACACGTGGCAGCCAGGAGCAACGAGCTCGTGCTACCTTCTTAGCCTTAGATTTAGCTTTGCTGCTGCTGCCAGGACCCAAATGGCACGCGGCTCAATCTCTGTCATCCTCGGAGAGTTATGCTTTATACAAATTCCACAGTTGCCGCCCCCGAAGTTGACTTTTGGCAATAACTGTGCGCGGTTGCCAGTGCGACCGAATGCGTACTTGTACGGGGGGGGTGGAGTGGACAGCGCGTGGAAAGCTGCGCCGATTTCTTTGCCTTTTCATATCGCATATCGATAGGCGCCAGGCACAAGGCGCCAAGAACAATCGCCATTTATCGACTTTATAAGCAACAACAACAAATACAACGTTTCGCCCCCCAATTGGTAGCCGCCCCTCACACAACGGTTACGTGTTTGTGGGCGTCGCCTGCATTACGCACAGCCGCACGTCTGTTGTCTCGCTCACAGCTGCGCTGCGCGGCAATCAGAGCGAGACAACTAGCTGAGGCGCATGCTGCCAGCGCTAAGATGGCAGCTGCACACTATCGCCGTCTCTGTTGCGCGCACAGCGCGAATGCGCACGCTGTGCAAATCAATGCGAAAGCTAAGCAGTTGGCAGATAGCAAAGCAGATAACGCGCGCCTTACCCGCTTTTCGCCTGTCGATTGTGTTTGGCAAGCCAGCAGCTAGGGGGTGGGTGGGTGGTGTGGCGATTGAAATCATTGTCGTCGCCGTCGTCGCTGCCACTGCGCAGCGTCACGTTAACGTTAACGTTATCATCATCGAGTCAATTCGTTTTGATTTTTTCGCATTTGTCTCAAATGCGAGCGAGTCGCTGGGCAAACGTTACGCGCTTCGTTTCGTTCCGCTGCGCTGCTGCACAGCAATATTTTTGCTAGACGAGCCGTCGCTAAAACCAAAAGCCGGAAATAGCCAACACACACACACACACACACACACACAACTACAAACCTAAACACACCAACACACACATGCATGGCCAAGTGCTCCCGCAGGCCAAACTAATTTGACTGTTGTTAGGCTCAATGAAATATTCAAACCGAATCGCAAGTGAAATCGCAACAAAGTGCCAAAAAGTGTGTGCTTCAATTGAGTGTTGGTAAACGCTATACCAAATACCAAATACTAAATGCAGCTGCTAAAAATCAATTAAGTTCGCATAAACAACAACAACAACAACAGCAACAACAACAGGCCGCAGTCTAGCAAATTGCGGTCTCTGTCTGTCTGTCGGACCGGGCCGGACACAGTGTCCAGCTGTCAGTTGGTCAAACATTTCATCAATAAACGATACAACTTCCGTAACACTGCGTGCTGCACACCTGCGACGCGTACGTGTATGTGTGCGTGTAAGTGTTAATGTGCATGTGCGTGTCTCGTAAGCGGCAAGAAAACTTTTCAACTTCCGGCCAAGTGACTTCGATTTAATTTCTCTGGCTTTTTTATGGTCAAGCCATTTAATTAATTTTACTATGGCAATTTGAGCGTCTTGCCCCTTGCCCCATGCCCCTGGCCCATTGCGAACTCTGACCCCGGCGGTTAGCTCCTGTGCAACATACGACGGGCTCTAAGGAAAAGAAAAAGGGCTCACAAGGTGAGTCGAATGAAAATTAAGCTGAAAGTTGAGCAGCTAACAGGATTTGTATATTTGTTTGAAGAGAAGCTCCGAGACAAGATTTTGATAGGTAAATCAAGTCAAAGCTCAGAACGAATTGGAATTTGATTAAATTATGTATTAGCAAAAGATCTACTAAATATATTCAACTCTTTAAGATATAATATTGGTGCTCTTAAGAAATATAATTTCTATTATTTTGTAACCTGCTTTCTCCATTTACAGAGCCTGCACAGAATGCGAGAGAACATCATGATTGTAATGTAATTTGGTGCACAACAATTAACATACATATACTGTGATAAGAGGAGTGTATACGAGCAGATTCCTGGCGGTTCTGCGCAAACGGCAAACGCAATTCAATTAAATTGAAATTCTAATTAAGATACCTACGTTAATATTAATTTTGGCTGGCGAGCCCAAATACTGGCAGCAAAGGCGACAAGCTGTCGACTCTATCGATACGCAACTTCTCGGCAAGCATGCTGAACAATCTTGGGGCCAATGTGCTGGGTAAGTCAAGTAGTTTGTAAAACGATTAAGTGGGGGCGGGGGGAGGGGAAGGTGTGTAGCGTATAATATTGTAATTAAGATCGCGCAGTGAATTGCGCTAATATATAATAATATGTGCATTAATCTGTCCGCCTGGCCGATGGCCATAATTAAACTAATTTCTTGAGCATACGCTCGCTGGCAACGGGTCGCCATATATCATGTATTTATGTGTGTGTGCGAGTGTGTGTGTGTGTGTGTGTGTGTAGTTACTTCCGAGTTGGAGGCTGAGCCATCGATGACGCTAAATGGCCTATAATTGAGGCGTCTAAACAGCAGGCGCCCCGTGTCGCGTGCATTTAGCAATAATTAAGTTGTATTTAACTAGCTCGCATTTTTTCTTCTTCTTGTTGCTGTGGGTGTAAGTGCCTGTATATCCGTGTGTGTGTGTGTGTGTTAATTGGCATAATTGCTCTTTTAAATATGCCGCAAATTGTAAATTACATTTGCATTTCGCTCCGGTTCACGCACATAATTATCAGTTTATATTGTGCACTCATAAATATATATATATATGCCATATTTTTAAACCACATTGTTGATCATTTTTCAAGCACTTTCAATTTCGGCAATCAAATTTATAGCCTAGCCAGGCAACTGCAGCAACTTTGCAGCAACTGCAGCTGCAGCTGCGATTCTCGCACTCGAATGAGTTATGTGCGCGCTTTTATTGAATATTTTGCCCGCACTGTAGCTGCAGCCAGTAATTAATTACTTTTATTAATTTATTGCCCCTTTGCCAACTGCCAATGGCCAAGCCGTTGGCCATACGCGGCGTATGCGCAATTTGTGCCATTGCCCATTGGCCATAAAAGAAATATGGTCCAAATATTTTTATTTACATACAAATGTTGTCTCTAAACAAAATTGTTTGCAACACATGCAAAGCTATCTATTCTATGAAAGAGTTGAATTTGTTAATAATAACAATATTTCCATATTTGAAGTTTCAAGAGAGTGCCAATTGTATATGAAAGAATTTTTGGAATATTTGGAAACCTGGCAAAAGCAATTCTACTTGAGAGTTCAAGTCTTTAAGGCTGCAAGCTCGATAAAAAAAAAAAAAAAAAAAATGATTGCATTTAAAACGCATTCGCTTGGCTTTTAAAGCTTAAACAAAACTATAAATTTCAATAAGTTGTCATGCAGGCAAACGCGCCGAAAAATCCTTTTGGCAGAAACAAGCCAAATCCTGCTGCTGCAGCATGTGCTCCTAATAAATTTCATAAGCCTCGCCGCAACAAACAGAACAAAAAACAGTCGCAACTATGCGAAGCAACAGACGGCAACATTTGCATATTACGTATACGCTGCGTAGGCCCGAGCAAGGCAAGTCTGCCGGTGGGGGGTGGGCGGTGTGTTGAGCGGGCGCCCAATTAAGCGCAATTTGCATGCAAAAGAAACGCGTTTTGCGGGCAGGTTCCTGCTGTTCTCTCTCTCTCTCTCTCTCTCTCTCTCTCTCTCTCTCTCTCTCGCTGTCTCTCTAATGCCCATTCAACATTTGCAAATGCTGTGTTGTGGCGCGAAAAACTTAAATCGTTGGACTTAGTGCCATGGAAAGAGGCGGAGGGGGAAGGGTGGGTTGGGGGCATTTGAAGTGGCAAACAAACATTTGTGACTGTGACTCGACTCGGCATTTTTCGTGCACGGATTAATTAAATTAATTTCACGATTGCATTTGTAATTTGCCAGCCACAGCCAAGAGCACGCTTTGGCCCTGTGCGTTGGCATTTTTGCGGCCGCCAGCGCCAGTGAAATATGTGCTGGGCGCCTGCCCCCCCCCCCCCCCCCCCCGCTCCTCTCCCCTGGCGCCCACTGGCCGCCTTGGGGCAACATTTGCATCGAAATGTTTTGCGGCTGTTGCGGCTGCAGCAACTGTTGCTGCGGTTTTCACGTACAGCGCACCAATCCATAGGCCTGACCGCACAATTTCCAAATTTCAATAATTATGCGTGCAGTGCATGGAACTGACGACTGCAACTGCAACTGCAACTGCAACTGCAGCTGCAGCAGCAGCTAGTCCTTGCCGGCCATATATTTTGCGGCAGATATTTGCAGCTGCAGCCGCCGCCAAACTGATTTTGCGCAAATTGTGCAAATTGCTTGCGCGATAAATTCATGTTTGCCAATTTTAATTAATTAATCGCTTTGTGCGGTTTTCGTGCAACTCCACCAAGCAAAATGGCCGCCCGTTGTCAGTTGTACAACGCACACACACACACACGTGCGCAGAGTTATTTGTGCGCTCTGCTTGTAATCATTTGGGCGCCGCCATGTTTATTGTAGCTGCGGGCATTATACAGCATTCAACTAATGTCACAACGTTGCCATTCCAAATTAGAGACATCTATGATTGATTCCATGTCCAATTAGTCATCATTATGGCCAGAGATACAGCAGTTAGACAGAGCATAAAGACCTGAAACAGTAGCTGACCCATGTTGGACCTATGTGCCATAAAAAGTCTGGCGGACTTCTAATCCCCAGCTGGCATTATGCTTGTTATGATTACTTTGCCCAAGGGCCAAGCAAGGCCGGATACCGAGCTTCTAGATGGATTGTGCTTGTTTTAAATACCTTGTGCAAAGGCTTCGTAATCTGTGATATATTTTAAAATCATGTGAATTACGCAGCTCCACAACAATCTAGCATTAAATATACATAAAATATATATGGGTATACAAAAATTTGAGCTAGGTGTTCAAGCCTCTAGCCTCTAGCTAAGCTATTATTCTTATATAATGTTAGACCTTAGACTTGTCACAGTATAAAAAAGAAAGTCGCAGTTCAAACCCCCAGCTAGATTATCGTTGTTATGATTGCTTTTTAAGTCATGTGAATGTCTCAGCACTGTCGCATGCTATTATTATTAAGAAACTAAGTAAATGTTATTAAATTAAATACAAAGGATACAACAAAGTATGCTGAGGCTCGAATCCCAATTGCATTTTTGCAACGCATTCAAGCTTATATTACACATGAATAGGCATTAGTTTGTCGATTTGTTGCCTCTTGTTGCTTATAATTCTCAAAATGTTATAGCTGTGCACTCAGCACAAGGCAGAGCAATCGTAGAGTCGTTTGCAAAGTCTGCTGATGATAGATAGAACTGGATGATGTATCATAGATGTATCAGACAACCCGTTTATAGCTTGTTTTTGACCTCAAACTCGCCTTTATATTAACTATAATTCTCAAAAGAATATGTTTTCACATTCTGTTCACTTCGTTATATTAACAAGCATAGCAAGTAGTTCAAATACATTCGCATTACTGCAAGTACCCACTGTGCTTTCTTTCGTTCAGCTCTTAGCTCGAGTGCTACTAGTTGAAAAATATTTGTTTCGACTCGCAACTGCAAACATTTGGCCAGCAAGTGTCTGAAGCTCACACAGATTTACAGTTGCAGTTCGATTGCAGTTGCAGTTGCAGCAACTACTCGGCTTTGTTTTTCGTATTTATGTGCCACAACTGTAAAAGCTGGCTGAAATTAAAGCTAGACCAAAGCGCGCGATTTCCAGAAGTGGCGCTATTTGGCCGGAGCCCAAGCACAGCCAGCTCTCTACGGCCACGCTCAGAGCAAGTCGAATAGCTGAAGGAAGCCGCACACCTGAATGCTAAAAGTCGCACTTCTTGGAGCAACGGCCCTGGCATCGAGCTGCGAGCTGAGCTCCAAGCTGAGCTCCGCGCTGGTCTGCTGCTCCGTTCGAGCGTAAACTGTTTGGCTATGGGAGCTGCAGATATCGCACCTAACACCGCGCCTTAAATTTACCAATCACGACACTGGAGCAGCCATCAGTTGGCCATAAAGCTCGAAAGTTTGTTGATGCTGATGCCTATGCGTGTTGGCCCTGTTACAGTTGCAGTTGGCAGTTGGCCAACTGCTTTTAACTGTAAATGCTGCAAATGGTCAACAAGCAACTGGCACGGAAGCAGCTTTCAAGCTGTGCTTCGGGCGTGTTTTTTTCCTTTCTTCAATATTTGACAAACGTCAATGTTGCAAGCTGATGGGAGAGTGTGTGAGTGTGCGAGTGTGTGTGTGTGTCTCTGCGTCATGTAAGCACTGTCGTGAACATCGAGCGCGTCAAAAATCGCTAATGAACAGTAGCCGCGCTGGGTGTATGTGTAAAAATTAGCACTTTGCTGGCAACGCTTTAAAAGCGACTGCACAACAACAACAACAACAACAAGAACAACAGCAACGAAAACTAAAGCAACAACAACATTCACTGAAGAATAGGGGAATGTTGGTGCTTTAGTCTATGGCTATCACAGGCCAGGCTACAAAAACTAAAACAGCAGCAGCCAACAAAAGACTTTCCTGCTTTTTGTACCCTGTAAATGAAAGGCATAGTGCAGCTGTGCATATGCAGGGAGAAAGACAGAAAGAAACAGCTGCGATATATGCATATATATAACTGATCAAGACGAGCTCTTTAACTGCACTCGGAGATTATAGAATTTAAAAGTTCTTTTAACAAAATATGTATAATTCGCTCTGTTTTTACCAATACAAAAATATATCGATTTGTAGCTAAGCCTTTTACAAAACTCAATGTATTGAGAATTTTCCCAGTTTTCCCAAAATCGATAAGTATTCATTTTAAGCTACGATTACAAAGAGATCTGACCAATTCGTAGACTATGAAAGATTCAAGTTTTTATCTAGTTTTCTAATAAGCAATAATAGATCTAGAGATTTGGCCGAACTTGAAGACAATGAAGATAATCCAAATATCGAGAATTTTCCCAATTTTTAAAAAATCGATGACCATCAATATTTAGTCAAGTCTCTCTGTCATCTATGATATATCAAGACTTGCAAATCAATTAATTAGTTTAATTATATATCATTTTGTCATCGATCAATCGATAAATATCAATTATCGGCACATACTTTGTACGCACATCTTAAAGATGTTAAGAGTTGGCTACGTCAGATTCCGATGGTGCTCGTATACGCAGATCCACAATACTTCAGTTTTTGGAAGCTTAGCATAGCTTAGTGTCTCAAAAATGGTTTGCAATTAGACCTTTTCGACCCGAAATCGATAAATATCGGCTTTTATTTAAGCATTTTACCAAATTATACTGAATAAATTGCCGCTAACCCCAAAAGGTGGCATATATCTCTTTATGAGTGCTTGACTTGATGTTTGTATCCACGCGCATTTGATGGCCCCCTTCAAGCCCTGAAAGTGTCATAACATTCAGAATTGAGTGAAGATTATGTTTTTCTTAGAGCGTATTAGGGTGTCATATTTTGGCAAACATGTTTACAAGGTAGCTGCCAGTCGTAGCTGGTCAGATAGAGCACTTGTTAATTTATGTGGCGCTGCACTCGTTGGACTTTTATGAGCTGCTAGGCTTCCAGCAGGGCAGAGCAGCTTCCAGCTTTCGTTGAGATTGCCCGCTTTGCTGTGCCCCGCCTGGCACCTGTTGCTGCTGCTGCTGCTGCTGCTGCAGCGTCGGCTCGCAGCGCTGTGTTGTTGCGCCTTTGTGAAGTTGCCGAAATTTTAACAAGTCCATTTGGAAAACAATAAAAATCATTGATGCTGCGCTCGCTCACAGCCAACATCAAAGTCGGCTAATTGAAAGCAATTGGAATATACCCTTCCATACCCTACCCTAGCGTGGCCTACCCTAGCCTGGCTTGGCCTGGCATATAATATGGACTATGGCATCTGCATTTGGGAAGGTTTCGCTTTCAACGGAAATTGCACACTTTTGCCTACACCCACACCTTCAGTCTATGGTGAATACTCTTTGCTTTGAGGCATACGCATAATTATATGAAAATCATGACAACATCACGAACGAGTCGTGCCCAAAAGGTTATGTATGGAGACGAGAGTTCGCATCAACTGGCGATGAGTAAATGTTTGACTTGTAGCAGAGTTGAAATATCAAAAGATACACTCACACACACACACACCACACACACAGAATCAATGGCAAAAGAGTTAAGCTGTTGTTGCTGCCGTCTCTCACACATCTCTCACAGGCAGCGCCTCGCACATAGATGTTAAAAATTCCAGACGGTACACGTTGAAGTTGAGGTCTCCGACTCGTCGACTCGTCGACTCTGCCTCTATATATCCACCCCACTGGGCTCTATTTGTATTTGCCTATGATTCGTGTTTTATTTTTTGTTTCTTTCGTGATATTTCCAACTACTGTGTTGTTGTTGGACAGGCCGAAAAAAAAGCAGCGTTACGTAGTCAAGTGAGCCAAAGGTAAAACTGAAATAAAAGGGGTTACGCTCACAGCTCACACATGTATCTGCAGCTATGTATCTGCAGCTGTGTATCTGTATCTGTAGCTGTGTATCTGTATCTGTATCTGTATCTGTATCTGTATCTGTCTCTCCGCATCGCACCTCAGTCGAGCTGCTGCTGTTGCCGACTCTTCGCCGTTTGTTACTGTTTTTGGCATCTTTTGAATGACAGGTTGTTGAAAAATTCAATTTAGCCGATCGCCGCAGTTCGCTCCGAGCAATACATACAACAAGTCGAAACTCGCGACGGCAAAGCGCGGCAGCGTTTCAACAAATAAAAAACTCAAATAAAAATTTAATTTTAAATAAAAAAAATCACATCTAGTGTCAATTGTTAATTAATCACAGGCTACAGCTAGGCGCTGCGCATAGATTTCACATAAATCAACAAAAATTCCGACGGCTTTTCAGCACAACTCTTACAGTGGGTGTCAATTGTGAGTGCACCTCTTGTGGTCACATTTCATTTACATTTAATTAGTGTAAACACTTACTACTACACGCCCACACACACACACACACGCGCGCGCAGTTTATCAATGGCTTAACCAGCATTTCAATTAAATTATATATTTAATATTAAGTATAAAAAACAAAGTGTATTCTCTTTAATGTAAAGCATTTTCAGTTAGTTGTGAAATTTAACAAAATCTAAAATTGGTTTAGATTTAAAACAATTCATAAACAAAATGATTAAATAAATAAATATCGTATAATAATATATAAATAAAATATTGTGATGAATAAAGAGAACTTATGAAATTATTAAATTAAAAAATAAATATAAACCAGTTCTCAATGAAATTCGTATTTTAAAATCATAATCATAAAAAAAAAATAATAATAGACCAATTAAAAGTATAAATAACTAATAAAAGATCTATTTGTTTCATATTATTTGAAAATACTAATACCTAAAACTAGGCTAGTTTATTCTACAATACATAATTATAATAAATAATATGATTATAGGTTCTGAGATCCTTGCGTTCATACATACGGACGGACGGACGGACAGACAGACGGACATGGCTAGATCGACTCGGCTATTGATGCTAATCAAGAATATATATACTTTATGGGGTCGGAGATGCTTCCTTCTGCCTGTTACATACATTTGGATTTTGCACAAATACAATATACCCTTATACCCATTTTTAATGGGTTCAGGGTATAAAAACTGATTACAGAAACATACACGAAATATTTAATTATTATTCTCTAATATATAAAATATTAATTAATTATATAACATACATAACAACAAATAATATGTGCATTTATTATATAAATGTAGAATGATTAATAAAAACCTAATAAAAGGCCAATTATTATATAAATAAACAAATATTTTATAGTTGGTCAATTTATTATATGATATAAAAAAGAATAAACAGCTAAATAACAGTCGCAGTTCTATAAATATTAATAAAATATAAACTAATAATGATATTCTATAAATACAGACAATTTCCATGAATATAGTGTATATAGAGACATGGTATATATGGACATTGTCAGCATATTTGAAGACTTTGCTGACAAGTTGGTCCTTCAATCTTCAATCTTAAACCTGTTGGGAATTGCAAGCGTGAGGCTAGGAACGAAAGCAAAGCAAAACAACAAAATAGACCAAATTTTTTAGCTATGCTAGTAAAAGAGATTTGATTTGAAAATCTTTGTATTTATAGTGTGCTAAAACCCGCTAGCCGCTCAGCCTAAGATTTGTACTTATACTAAAATCAATAGTCAATATTTAGTTAACACAAAACCGGAAACATTTGTCAGTCAACTAATCTATAGCTTTCCCTTTCTCTCTCTCTCGCTCTCTCTCTCCCACTCTGTTGGCGCAACAGGCCCCAAGGATTGTGATCTACCCAAGGCGGCAATTACAGCACTTCACGCGGGCGTCAATAGCTTTGGCCAGTTGCCCGTCGCTCCGAACATTGCGGATCTTGGCGGAGGTGGAGCTGGACCCGGCGGCGGTGGTGCGGCGAGCATTGGCGGTGTGGCCCGACTGCATGTGACTGGGGGATTGTGCGACAATGGCAATGCGCTGAATGGTGCCAGCAGTCACGGCAGCAACAACAACAACAGCAACAGCAACAACAGCAATAGCAACAACAACAGCAACAACAACAACATGCAGCAACAGGATCAGGTGAGCATACGCTGTGAGAGACTTCTCTCTCTAGCAAGAGCGCGAAAGAGAGAGGGAGACACACTCTCTCTCTCTCCCTCTCGCAGTCTTCTAGCAGCAAGTAAAAGCTGAATTTTTAATAATCCATGTTCTTTTCGATGTTTTTTTCCTCAAAAAACTCTGCTATGCATATAAAAATAAATACAAAAAAAACCAATTCGAACCAAAAACTGATTTGCCAAAAACCAAACAAAATAAACGCAAAAACCAAAAATCAAAAATCAATATGAAATATCAAATATGTGAATGTGTAAATTGTGTGTGTTGAATTGTGTATAAAAATAATTGCAATGAATAAAAAAAAAAGTAAGTGTGATTTTATTTCCATATGTATTTTATGTCAAGCAAAAGAAACCAAAAACAAAAAAAAAAAAGAAATGCAAAAATTAACTAATTTAGTTGCTACGTTTAGTTTATTGTCTTTAATTGTAGACTTAGTGCTAGTTACTCTTGTTATTGTTCTTCTTCTTGTTCATGTTAATGTTCATGTAATTGTTGTTGTTGTTGTTGTTGTATTTGTAAATTAGCCGCTGCCAACGCTGTCACACTCAAGCCGGGTTTCCCCCCGTTCTCTGTGCCCTCTCCTTTCTTGCAGCACCTGGACAAAAACAAGCAGAAAAGACACCGCACACGCTTCACGCCCGCCCAGCTGAACGAGCTGGAGCGCTGCTTCTCCAAGACCCACTATCCGGATATATTTATGCGCGAGGAGATTGCCATGCGCATTGGCCTCACCGAGTCACGTGTCCAGGTGAGTCAGACCTGCCCCCACTTCACACTCTATACTCCCAACCAGCTTCATGTTGTCGCTAAACTTTGTGCGGCTTTGTTGCGGTCGCCGCGTCTCGCATTTGACTTTCGGTTAGCTCAATTGACAGTTGCCCGACTGTCAGTTTGACACTTAACGTTTAGTTTAACATGACAAATGCAAAACCGCAGCCGCTTGCAACGACCAAACCCAATGCAGTCGCGGTTTGAACTCAGCCAAGTCGAGTTTAAGTGGCTTTTATGCTAAATGCCTCTGACTTTTGACTTCAAAATCTCTGAAAAACATCAGGTGAAACGATTGTCTGGAGGATCGAGCTGCGTATTCCTTTGCTGTTTCAATATAACAAGGCTACTTACTATGCTAAGACAATGTGGCCAGATTATAAGAATGCTTAACAGCTGTTAGTATTTTAACAGCGCTGCTAAGAGCTGTTCCTTTAACATATGCTTAAATTGTCTTCTATTTTATTAGGAAATGAATTCGAACGCGAAACGTTACCCATCAAATAGTTAAATCCTTTTTATACAAAGAAGAGATGGATTTTCCAAATCCTCAAATGAATTTGAACATAGATCTTTGCCTCTGACGATGTACGCGCTTTTTCCATGCTTGCGGAAAGATACCTTTCATTTAATTTATTTCATACCCAATCTGTAAGTGTAGCCTTTATTTGATTCCCTCTAGAAGACAGCTCTTGCTCCGTTTAGGCAGCTTTCTTTTATAAAACTCTCTAGAATTTTGTTTTATTATTATCTGATAAATATTATTATTTACTCAAAACTGTTTTACTTTTGTCCAAATATCAATTTGACATACCTTAAATATCATTTTCATATCTGTCCAGCGCAATTTCTGAAAGTTTACACACATTCTACACTTATATAGTATTCCTAATTAGATCATAAACTATTTATTTTGTTTATTTAGCAAGCAATTAGCAGGTAAATATGCGAAACGGATTCTAAGTTATTGAAACTTTTGAAGCACAAACAGCGAGCAGCAAAAATGTTAATCTGCCTCGAATTGGGGCACAAGTTGAAGTAATAAAAAATAATATCAAATATAATATTAGATAAATAATTAATAATATATATAATAGTAGAGCTTAGTTGCCCCATATTAGCTAGAGAATCTAACGTTATCTTATATGTAAATTATTCTACATATTTCCATCCCAGATCTTTGTCGCATTTTCCATCTTGATTTTTTTTCTTTTATCTCGCTTTTTTCTTTGTTTATGTTTGCGCTTTTCAAATGTGAATTTTTGCTGGCGCGCGCTTTAATTCACAATTTCCGCCAACTTTATGAGCATTTTGGCTGCACTCGCGGCCACTCAGCGCCATTTAAGCGCCCAAAAATTATACTTTATTAAAGCACATAAAGTCACATTTAGACGAGCCTCCCCTCCGCCCGCTCTGCCCTGCCCTGGCCCTGACTCTGCTGCTGCTGCGAGTCCTGCTCTCTCTGTGCGACTTATGACTGCCGCAGCCAGCACAAAAAGTTTGCCAAGCCAACACACACACACACACACACGCACACACACACATATACAGACAGCTACAGTGAGCATTATCCTTTTGCGGCTGGCGCATCTCCCTAGCCATTGTTGTTGTTGTTGTTGTTGCTGTCTCTGCCATTATCCTGGCCGCTGCCTGCCTGTGGCGTGCGCCTTGTCCTTTTGCATGCGGGCGGGTTTTGTTTATGCGACAATCGAATTTACTGCTTCATTAAATTTGTGTTTAAGCTTCCGCTTCCTGCAGTGCCACTACCCCGCTACCCCCTCTCCCTCCCCACACACACTCTCTCACTCTCTCTCTCTCTCTCTCTCTCTCTGTGTCTCTGTGCAAAACTATGCATCTGGCGAATTGTTTTGCGGTTTCTATGAATGCCAAAAGTTGGCCCAGCATTTGCGTCTTATTGGCCTATTCAACGGGTGCCCCCCTACCCCCCTTTCTATCTTTCCCTCCCGTTCCGCTGGCTAAACAATTAGCTGGCTGGCCATGCCCACGGCCGACTCCCTTTTTTTTCGCGCCAGCCTAACGGATGTGCTACTTTGATAAATTGTTTTAATAATTGCGTATCAGTGTCTGGCTGTTAATGTATCCTGCTCATCCGGCTGACGGAACGATCCGGGTCCAGTTCGAGGGAGACGACCGGCTGGATCGGGGAGAGTGTGAGGGGGAGGGGTTTGCTGCTGGCTGTGCTATTAACACGCTATAATGTTTGATTTTTCGTTGTCGTTGGCTTTTGCGGCTTATGGAATGTCAGCCCTTTGGATTAGCAGGGACTTATTGTTGCTGCCACACTGCTGCCTCTGCCTCTGCCTCTACCTCTGCCTCTGCTACTGCCACTGCCACTGTTAATAAAATTAGCATATAAATTAAGTTTGCATGCTGTTTTGCCTGCCAGACTCACTGTGTGCTGGCCAAATGCCTGCTGACACACATATTATATATTTATACGCACCATTTTATTTGAAAACTCGAGAAATGTGTAAGAGGCTGCGCGCCACGCCCACGTGCACTAAAAACTGACGCCCATTTGATATGCACACACACGTCTGGCCCTAAATCAATCTACAAGGATTTGCAGCTAATGACGGCATAAAGACAGCCCCAAGCCGTCAGCCCCTAAATGCGACCCCCAACAACAAAAAATAAAGGTTTGCGTCTTAGCACGAAAATCAAGTCAAGCTAAGAAGTGTGAGTCGTGTGTGTGTGTGTGTGTGTGTGTTTGTCGTGTGTGTGTGTGTGAGTCGTGTATGTGTGTGCCTATGTCTGTTAGCTGCATAAGTTATGGAGCTCACGTAGCTGAACTACGTGGCCAAATACAGGATATGGAATACAAAATATGAGCTGCTTAATTATGCAGGCTCCAACAGAAAATACATATATATACATTTATATAGAATATAATATAATTTAATAAACTACAAATAACTAGACGAAAGCAAGTACAAAGTACTCTAGTGGGCAGTGGTCGACTAGAAGACGCCATCTTCTTCTCCCTTAGGCCCTTACATTGGCTAATAAGTTCTTGAATAACATCGGTGCTCATAGTCCGATCTTTATGAAAATTTGAGGGGATAAATATGACAACAACAAAAATGTGGCATATACCAAAGCGCAGAGCTTGAAACGCGTTCTTATTACTTTTGGGGGGAATGAAGAGAAACATTCAAAAAGCGAAATATTCTTAAGCTGTGTATACTATAGGAGAACCTTTATACCAAGTTTGCTGTAGCTAACTCTTATAATATTCGAGTTACACTTGAATAAGCAAGGCTCAAAATCGATCTATTTATCGATATCGTCACAGTGGAGCGAGATATCGCGAAAGTAACTGATAGACTCGTTCCGCTTATGCTAATCGATATACTCGATATACTTTCTCAGTCTCTAGCTTTAGTAGTTTCTGAGATAGCAAGACCTGGCTACAGATATGGTCAAAAGCAAGAATTCGATAACGATTTTAATCGATTTCATTTAATTCCTTTCTTTAACCATTTTCAAAGGGCCCACAAATCTGAGCAGAGCATTAACAAATGTAATCGCATAATACGATAGAGATAGGAGGAGAGAGAATGGAAGTGGCAGTGAGGGGCTGGGTAAGGTCGTCAGCCAGCGGGTGGTGCAATTGTTAATTTGTGTGTGTGTGTGTTTTACGCACCGCTCACAGCTAGAAATGAACAATTTGCGTGGTGCATTAATGTTAAGCGTCTTAGGCACCGCCCGTAGCTAGGCAATATGCTTGTCACACTCGCAGGACGACTGCAGCTGGCAAGGACACGTGAGCTGAACGAGAAGGAGTAGAAGGCGGCGGGGTTGACTACCAAATTGACTTATCATGATTTTACAGTGTGGCCGTTGTCAAAGCATTGTGCTCGGAATGTTTTGCGTTTATTGGTTTGTTTATTAAATTGTTGCAACGTGGCCCAGCAGCAGCACGTGCCACACAGAACAGACAGGCTGGGAACCAAATGAATTTCTCACATGATTAATTTGCCTGGCAACTACAAAGGGCTGGGGCGGGGGCGGGGGCGGTGCCATGTAGCTAAGCAGTCGAAGCATGCAGCACGGCATGGTTACAGTGGCAAGTGGCAAGTGGCAAGTGGTTGAGGCACTTGCACACAGACATTCGGCATCGAGCTGATTTGTCGAGTGGCACAACTTGGGCAAAGTTTTCCAGGTAATCAGCCACTAAAAATTGTTTAAATTCATAATTTGTGTTTGCTTAGTTTGTAGGGTTCGTTGCCAGAGAAATGAAAAGAATTTCTCTTGCTGGAAATTCACAACTTGAAAGATGGAATTTTGAACAGTTCTTCAAAGTTTGCGAGAGTCTTGTCTAATGCTTAGTTGCTCTCTATAAATCCATTTTTTTATTTCCAAGAATACCTCTCAGAAAACATTTTCAATAGATGGTTCCATTAAAGTTTCACAATTAAGAGCTGAAAATATCCAATCCCATATAGTGTATCCTTGATTAGTATCAAGAACTTTGTCCAAGTCTTGAAAATCTTTTGCTTGCAATAAAAGACTTAAATCGAGTCTCTTAACCAATCACAACTTTTCAGTTCACACAGCGAATTGTTTTTGCTAATTGCATTGAAAACTGAATCATCAAGAAATTAGCACTCGTAAAAGGATATGAGGCATTCGATATTCATTTAATTGCATTCATATTAACAAAAAGTTACTCACCTGCAATTTGGCATGTTGATCATTTGTTAGGGTTCGGTTATTGAACGAATATTCGTGGCGGTTACAAAAGAATATTTCCGATGAGTTGTGAATTTCTTGTTGAGACACTTCACTCGGGTTCCTGGTTATAAATTATCAATCCATAACTGCAATAATTAGGATTAAACGAGAAGGTTAGTAACTTTTTCTTTATACAAGACTTTTCGCTTAGGTAGAGAACATCAAGTTAATATGCTCTATTTGCGAGCTTCTTCTTTTTCCTTATGTATTTCTTCTCCTAAG